AGGATCATATTTATTATAATCAGAACACTCAGGCCACCTCTTTTATTACTTCATTAATCACAACCTCTATAGATTCAACTGGAACACACGAAAAAATGAATTTCGTCGAGGTTAGTAAAATTAATGGAAAGGACGCAATAGTTAGTCAAGGTGATATTAGATTAAGCGAAGTTGAGGTTGTGATTAATGAAGTAATAAAAGAGGTGGCCTGAGTGTTCTGATTATAATAAATATGATCCTATAAGAATTGCGTGACAAAATAGTCAATAGAAAGCATTCTATGGTGCACAGTTTTCCTGGAAAGTAATGGCAGCTTATAAAATATTGTTATAATAATATGAAGTAAAGAAAGGAATGCATATGCGATAAAAATTAATTGATTCTGACCAGAATTAACTTATTTTAGTCGGTTAAATAGGTTCAAATTAATTACAGTAATTCCGATCAGAATAATCTAAAATCAAGCGTAAAGTTGTAAAACTATATTAATGTAAATCATATAATATAATAAAAAAATTCAAATATTTTTATTCATAATTAGTTTCAGTAATAGTAAAATTAATTAGTTTTTTTTTATAATATTTTTTTATTTTTTTAAACTCACCTTGATATTTCTTTGTTGAAACATTAAATAAATATTTATAATATTACATTGACTTCATATAACAATCAACTTGTTGTTATACATTATTAGTTAAAAGATTATATTACTTAAAAAAACATGAAAAGTTTATCAAACTAATCTAGATTAAACAAAACAAGTCAAAATCAAATACTTTAAGTTAAATTTAGAAAACAATATTTCAATTTTCTGATTAATTAATATTTAATTTTTATTTATTAAGATTATTTATTGTTAATAGTTTATTATTGAATAATTATTTTTAAAAATAAAAAATATTATAATTTGTTTTTTGAATTTTATTTTTGAATAATATACAGTATATTATATATAATATAAATTTTAAGAGTACAATTATAAAATTAAAAAATTTTCTTATTTACTTTCAAAAATAATTATTATATTTTATATTAATTTAAAAAATATTAAATTGTTAAATTAAAATTCTATAAAAAAAATTTTTTTTTTTAATTTTTTAAATTATAACTAATATTAAATATAAGTTTTTATTAAAAGTTATTTTAATATAGATTAATAGATTCTTATAATACTAGTCAAAATTATATTATTTAACAATTAAATTATTGTCAAATTTGATTAAAGTTAATAATAAAAACATTGATAAATTATTATAAATTGCTGTCACTTGACATTAAAAATATTAGTAAAAAATTAATAAATAAATTTTGAAATATTATAGCAAAAAAAAAATTTGATATACTATTATATAAAAAATTTATATATTATAACAAAAAATTTGACAAAAAAATTAATATTGTACAAAAATTCAATAAAAAAAAATTAATATTAAGATAAAAAATTTGATAAAAAATTGTATATTATAGTAAAAATTTTAATAAAGATTAAAAATCTAGTATTAAAATTTGATAAATATTTAAGAAACTTAACAAATTTATAAAATTTATTAAAAAATTACAAAAAAATTATAAAATCAATTGATCAAACTATTCATTACTTTTTTTTTTCTTTTTTTATTTATTTATTTTTTTTTTTAAAAAAGACTTTAATTTTTTTGAAACTAGTCTCAATTGATTTTACCTTATTAAATTTTTTTCAAGTTTTTTCACTTTTTTCTTTTAACTTCTTAATTGTCTTCTGAATTTTGTCTATTTATATACTTTCCTTAAATTGTTTTTTGTATAATATATTAATGATTTCTTATATTTAATAATTTTTTATGTTTTAGATTTGATTATCAGTTCTTTACTTTTTTTTATCTCTTTATTTTATTCTTCATATTTAAAAAATTTTTTCAAACTGTATATCTATTTCAGCAAACTTTTCAGTAGTATCTATTATAATAATGTGAATTATTATAATATTATTTATAAATTAACTAGAATATATAAATTGATTTTGGATATTTTATTCAAATATTTCAACAAATCCTTTAATTATAAGTAATTATAATAAATATTATAATTGTTTTTTTTTTTTTTTTACCCTCTTTCAAGCTAATTATGTGTATGTTATTAAATATTCAAAATTATTATTAAAATTAAATGGCATGAAATGATTTTAAATAATCCCATAAGACAATTTATTAAAAACATGAATAGCAAAGTTACAGCTCATTAATGAACAAAATAAAATAGAATTTTAAACAAATGGAACCAATAGATTTGAGATTAACATAATTATACATGGGATTTGATATGGAAAAGAATAAAGAATAGATACATTTGGGACATCTCTTTTAAAGATTTTTAAAAAAGAAACTTCCTTATCAAATTAATTAATGAAGTATTGCCAATGTTTCTCAAACTAATTATAGGAAGATCAAATCTATATAAACAAGTAAAGTGTATAATATGCAAATAGCAAGTAAAAACAATAGAACATCTACTAGAATATTCAATATATAAAGCCAAATAGCAGGAAATATGAAACAAAGGAACTAAAAGTATTCTAAAAAACTTTTAAAAACTTCTGTATAATAGAAGAAAAGAAATAGAAGAGAAAAAAATAAGATATCTGATTGAAGACAGAATAGAATTAAAACAATCAGACAAATATATAGCCAGACTTATAAAAGAGACTGCAAAAATAGACCAAAACATGTTAAACTTTTGCATGGGACTTGTAAAAGACTTGAAATGAATATATTAGAGTCAGTGAATTCTTAAGTAATAAATTTAATGTGCAAAAGAGTTGTCTTTATTAAGATCAAAAAGCAACCTTTTTATATATTTTAGAGTAGTACAAAATAAATATAAAATATATAGGGCCAAAAATATATAAATTATATGACTTATAATCTGAACAACTTATATAATATATAGTTAATAATAAATGGAAAATAAAAGAAAAAAATAAAATAAAAAGAAATGATTGATACCTTATTCCCCATAGTCTGATAGTCAATTATTATTTATAATAAACAAGTCCAAATAATCTATATGGTGTAATTGTAATATTGTCTTAGTATTATAATGTCAACTCAATGATCTCAGCAGTCTCAGTAATCTCAGCAATCTTGGTGAAAGTAGGGTAATAGACCCAGATTGTTATATTCTTCCTCTCTTAAGAGTAAAACATTCTTGTCTCTTCAAATTCTTTTACTAATTGCATTGTATTGATTAATTTATCCTTGGAGATCTAAATAATATCATGGAGAAGATACCCTATCCATTTAATTAGGTATTGAATTTTCTTATGGATAGTTCTTTTGTTCAGGATAGTTTCAACTTCATATTCTTCTTGTTCATTATCATAGTAGATAACTGGTAGTGGTAAAATTTCTTGGAGAAAATCATCTGGTGATAGTTGATATAGTTTTAACAAAGAGATATAAAATATGGGGTAAATTTTCATACTAGATGGTAGGTCCAATTTGTATGCAGTCGGGAAGATTATTTCATAAATAGTATAAGGTCCAGTATATCTCAGTGTTAATTTCTTGGTGAGTTGATATCGATCTATAGGTAAATTAGTATTCTTTATATTGAGCAGGACCTGATCTCCTAGTTTAAATATGAGATAGTAGGGTATTCATTGATATACTTCATTTGTCATTCCAGAACTTCTCTGAGTATGTCTTTGATTAATTCAATTATGATATTTCAGTGATATAAAAAATCATTCACAGTAGGTATATTGGTTGCTACAGTTGTTGTTATGATGATTGGGAGGGTTGAATATTGTTCACAGTCTAATTCAAAGAGTGTGAATCCAATAGAGGCTTGCTTTGAGTTATTATATGTGAATTCAGTGACTGGAAGGTATTTATCCTATTGGTCTTATTTGTAAGTGGAGTAGGCTCTAAATATTTCTTCTAAGGTCCTGTTTATTCACTCAGTTTGCCCATTTGTTTAAGAATGGAAAGTAATAGACATGGCAGTTTTGATTTCTAAGTGTTTGTATACAGCTTGCCAGAATTGGTTAGTGAACCTTGCATCTCGGTCTAATATGATAGTTCTTGATAACTTATGGTTCCTAAAGATGATATTGAAGAAGATATTGGTGACTTCTGATACTGTGACAGATGTGTGCATAGATTGAAAGTATGTTTGCTTAAAGAGGCAATCTGCAAACACAACAATGGCATTGTGTTCTTGTCTTGTCAGAGGAAATTGTACAATAAAATCTATGATAACTTCTTCCTATCACTTGATAGGTGTTGGCAATGGTTGAAGGAATCCAGCAGGTTGTTGATTGCTAGCTTTGTTTCTTTGGCAAGTGTCACAAGTCTGAATATATTTATGAATGTTTTTTCCCATCTTTAGTTAGTAGAAGGTTCTCATGATGTTTTCAGTAATCTTGTCAATTCCCAAATATCCAGTGGCTTCTATGTCATGATACTTTCTGAGGATGTAGATATGGATGCGTTTGTCAATAGGAATAGTTAGATGATATTCTTTACAAAGGTATATTCTTTTGGTTCTCCCAGATAAAATGTTTGGCATGATTTTTTTTTTATTTCTCAGCTTTATCAGAATGTTGCAATGTGTCAAAAAGGTGATAAAATACTTGTTTTGTTGATATGCTTGCAGAAAAGTTTAATTATCAGCAAGAGTAACAAAGAGAGTAGTAATGGAGGCAAGGTGTGATTGTCTTGATAGGGTATTAGCTACAACATTTATTTTTTCAGGCCAGTATTTAACTGCGAAGTTGTGGCTTTGAAGGGTTTTTAACTAGCAGGCTTGTCTTCTTGACAAGTTGAATTGAATCTTAATATACTCTAATAAGACATGGTCAGTGATAAAGATAAACTATTGTCCCTCTAAATATATTTTCCAAGTTCTAATAACATGCACAATGGCTAAAAGTTCCTTCTCATTAATAGTATAATTTTGCTTAACAGGAGATAGTTTCCTAGATTCATAACTAACTAGTTGTTCTCTGTTTCCTTGGTCTTGTGTTAAGACAACTTCAATTGTAAAATCTGAGGCATCAGTTGTTACAATGAATAGTTTGATAGAATCAGGCAACAGGAGGACAGGTATGGTAGTTAGCTTTTTCTTTAAGATGTCAAAGACATTATAGGTTTCGTTAATCCATTTAAAGGCTTTATCTTTATTGAGAAGGGTAGTAAGGGATATGACTATTGCAGAAAATTTAGATATAAAC